AGAGAGAGAAAGAAAAGAAGAAGAAGGGGGGAGAGAAAATTCTGTGCTATTATTTTTAATTGTTCCATTATTTATCATATATTAATATTTTGCACTGTCCCTATACCTAGAATGATTTTACTGCCTTTCTTTTGCCCTGGTACTTTTCAGGGTTTACATGTCAATAGTCCAGAGCATAAATACAGGTGCATTTAACAGAGTTGAAAGGGACTATTGAGATCTTCTAGTCCAACCCCCTGCTCAGGCAGGAAAACTCTGAGGATGCCAAAATCTGAATAGAGGTCATGGGAAAGGTGTCAGAATAACAGAATGGCACTTAGAAGAGACTCTATTTCAGGCTGTCCAGTCTTTTCTTAAAAATCTCCAGTGTTGGACCACCCAGAACTTCTGGTGGCAAGCAATTATACTGGTTAATTGTTCTCACTGTCAGGAAGTTTCTCCTTATTTTTAGGTTGCTTCTCTCCTTGATTACTTTCCATCCTTCTGGTGCTTTGGAAAATACATTGTCCCCTCTCTTTCTGGCAGCCCCTTAAAAGCCTGTTGCCTATCACCCTCTTGGGCAAAGCATGTGAGCCATTTCCTCCTTTCAGTGGTCCATGAAAGTACATCTGTAGTACATAGATAATAAAGTCAAAAAAAAGGTGAACAACATTTTTATAGAACTATAGATATGTTGAGGCTGGGTGTGACAAGGAATGGCTGGGAGGAGAGGGGCCAGGCAAGGCACCCCTTGACGTGAGTGACATTGAGTTGGCCACACCCATCCAGTCACATGACCACCAAGCCACACCCATCCAGTCATGTGACCCTAAGCCATGCCCACCAAATAAGCCACAGAACCGATAGTAAAAAAATTTGAATCCCACCACTGGAAACAAGGTGAATTTGAACTATTAATACATGAAGGTAGATATGATATAGTTTGAATAACAGAAACCCATGACTGGAACACACTGATAGAAGGATACAAACTCTTCAAAAAACAACAACAGACCCCATAAAAGAGGAGGTGGAATTGCACTGTATGTAAAGGTGTCACTGTATGTAAAGAGTTTTTGCAGCATGATCATTATTGTCAGACAACCCAGGAGCAAAACACAGTACACAGAGGCTTTGTCTTTTAACAGTGGTTTATATACATATACGTGGTAGGCAAATACTTGGCAAGCAATCAGTTTTCTTTACTCTGCATGGATAACTACAATGAAGACAGAACACAAGGAGCGAGAGGTACGCCCTCTCATGGCTACATACATAGAAACATGCATACATACATACATACATACATTCATACATACATACAACCATGTTGTTTCATCCTCATTGCATCAGCCTTACAACAGCTGGTCAGCTATTAAATCTCAATACCTTGACAAAAGGACCACTATATTGCTACAGAAAGGCATGAAACTAAAGATGAAAACCACCTAGAATGCATATGAGTCAATATAAAAGAACAAAGAATGACATGGCCATAGGTGTATACTAAAGGCCACCCAATCAAGCAGAAAAAAATAGATATCCTTTTTGCTAACCAACTAACAAATATATGTAGGAAACACACGACAATAGTAATGGGGGATTTCAATTACCCTGATATCAATTGAAAGACTAATTCTGTACCAAGTGAGAAATCAAAGAAGTTCCTAACCAACCTAGCTGACAATTTTGTTGTCCAAAAGTAGAGGAAGGAACCAGAGGAAGGAACCAGACTGGACTTAATTCTTACAAACAGAAAAAAAGTGATAAAGGGAGTTGAAATTGCAGGAACCTTGGGTGAGAATGACCATGTTATACTAGAATTCAGCATAATGCAAATACAAGCAATAGAACATAACAGGACACCAGAGTCTTAGATTTAAAAAGAGCTTATTTTAATACACTCAGAGAGAACTTGGGAAAGAATCCATGGATAGAAATCCTAAAGGAGAAAACAACTCAAGATCTTGGGAAATTCTGAAAAATATGATCATAAAAGCCCAGTTCAGCACAATACCACTGAGAAAGAAAAATAAGAAATCCAAGAAGAAACCAGCATGGCTGCACAAAGATCTCTCTAACAAATTGAAAGAAAAAAAAGGACAAGTACAAAAAAATGGAAAGAGGGACACACAACTAAGGCAGAATACCAGCAGCTAGCCAGAATTTGCAAAGACAAAGTCAGGAAAGCAAAGGCTCAGAATAAATAAAAACTTTCAACAAAAGTCAGACAATGAAAAAAAAGTTTCTTCCAACATGTAAATAACAAGGAAAATATCAAGGAAACAGTCAATCCACTAAAGAGAGAAGACAGCAAGGAAGTTACAGGCAACAGAGAGAAAGCAGAGCTGCTTAATTCATTCTTTGCATCAGTCTTATAACTATAGCCCAACCTACCAAAAAAATAACAATAAAAGACAAACTAGAAATAAAAGTTAAAATAAGTAAAAAAAAAAAAAGTAAAAAAACACCTGTCTGTTCTTGATGAATACAAATCACTGGGGCCTGGTGGATTACTTCCCAGAGTTCTAAAGGAGCTGATAGATGTCATCTCAGAACCACTATACCACATCTTCCAAATATCCTGGAGGAGCGGGGAACCACCAGAGGGCTGGAAAAGAGCTGATGTGCAACTCATCTTCAAAAAAAAAGGGGGGGGGGGGACAGACCTAGGAAACTACAGACCAATCAGCATAACATCAATACCCGATTAACTCTGTTAATCTGTATCTATCTGTAAGAAGTGAAATGGAGACAACAGAGACAGCTAAAATACAACCACCAGCCAAATGTAGTCCCTACCTCATTGTGGAAGAACAAGAGGTGAGGAGCATTCTGAGGGCTGTGGACCATAGAAAGGTTGCCGGTCCTGACGGTATCTCTGGCCGAGTGCTTAAAGACTGTGCTGATCAGTTGGCTGGAGTCTTTACCAGGATCTTCAATCGGTCTTTATCCCAGTCCACTATTCCATCTTGTTTGAAAGCTTCCACCATTGTTCAGCTGCCAAAGAAGTTCCCATCAATAACCTCAACAATTACAGACCAGTGGCACTCACTCCTGTCATCATGAAGTGCTTTGAGAAATTGGTCTGCCAGCACATCATTTCTGGTCTTCCGCATACATTTGATAAACACCAGTTTGCATACAAAAGAAATAGAACTACAGAGGACACTATAGCCATCACTCTTCACACTGCTCTGGCTCATCTAGAACAGCTGCGGGGGGGGGGGGCGGGGTATGTGAGAATGCTTTTTGTAGATTTTAGTTCTGCATTTAACACAATTCTTCCACATAGACCAGTGTCTAAACTTCTGGACCTTGGCCTTTCTTATTCAATCTATTCACTGATTGCAATTCTGTTGAAGAACATTACAACACATTTTTATTTGAAGTCAAAAGAGTCATCAAACTATATGTACCAATAACAACTCCCAAAACCAGAAAAAACAAGTTACCCATAACAATAAGGAAGCTTCAATCCAAAAAGAGATCACTTTGGCGAAAAAACAAATCTGGTCACATTGCCAACTTCAAAAGCTGATACAAACATTTATGCCACCAGATAAAGACTGAATGCACCAATTATCACATTAAACAAGAGGAAAACCTTCTATGCACCAATTCCACCCACACTTTCTACAATTTTGTAAACAACAAATTAAAAGACTCAAGGTCCATCCCACCCCTGAAAGGACCTAATGGTAAAGACTGTAACGACGACACTATTAAAGCCAACCTCTTTAACACATTATTTGGCTCAGTATTTGTAAACAGCAATGGATCATGCCCAGTATTTCCTAGTTGATTTTACAGAAGACAATGTTGAAAAAGCACTACACAATCTAAAACCATCTCTATCTATTGGACCGGACGGAATATGTGCCTACTTCTTAAAAAAGCTATCCACTGCCATAGCCGAACCTCTAAGCATAATCTTTGAAAAATCTTTCAGGACCAGCTCCATGCCAAACCTATGGTCACAAGCCACAGTCATCCCCATTTTCAAAAAGGGAGACCCCAGCCTAGTTGAAAATTACAGACCAATCTCTTTATGCTGCATCACCTGTAAAGTCATGAAATCAATTATTAACCAATCCATTATCCTCCACTTAGAGACAAACAACCTACTCTCTAATAAACAATTTGGTTTCAGAAAAAAACTATCCTGTAATCTGCAACTCTTACACTGCAAAAACATATGGACTACACAACTTGATCAGGGCAAAACAATAGATGCACTCTACATAGAACTTCTGTAAAGCCTTTGATTCAGTGGTACATGACAAACACTATTAAAACTAAAATCTTATGGCATCTCTGGACACCTGCATAACTGGATAGAAGTATTCCTGTCATACAGACAACAAATGGTCAAAATTGGGAGTGTCCTATCAAATTTTGTACTTGTCAATAGTGGTGTCCCCCAAGGCAGTGTTCTAGGACCAACTCTCTTCATACTCTACATAAATGACCTCTGTGATCTTATTAAGAGCAATTGCATTCTCTTCACTGATGATGTAAAGCTATTCAACACCACAGATACTTTTGCTACCCTTCAAAAAGATCTTGACTATGTATCAGAATGGTCAAACAAATGGCAACTTCAAATCTCAACAAATAAATGTTCTGTCTTACATATTGGCAAAAAAAATCAGAAAATAAAATACAAGCTGAATAGTCAAGACCTCGTTGATGATCCAAACTCTGTCAAGAACCTTGGAGTACTCATCTAAATGATCTAAGTGCTAGAGCCCACTGTAACTACATAGCCAAAAAGGCATTAAGAATTGTTAACCTAATCCTACGTAGCTTTTTCTCTGGTAATATCACACTACTAACTAGAACATACAAAACATTTGCTAGACCAATACTTGAATACAGCTCTTCAGTCTGGAACCCACATTACATATCTGATATTAACACAGTAGAGAAAGTCCAAAAATATTTCACAAGAAATATTTCTACTCATTGCAGAATACCTTATGCCACCAGACTTGAAATTCTAGACCTAGAAAATCTAGAACTACACCGCCTTCGGTCCGATCTAAGTGTAGTATATAAAATCATACATTGCAATATCCTTCAGGTTCAACCATAACAATACAGCTTCAACCATAACAATACAAGAGCACACAATAGATACAAACTCATGGTTAACCGCACCAAACTTGATTGCAGGAAATACGACTTCAGCAACAGAGTGGTCAATGTCTGGAATATTCTACCTGACCCTGTGGTTTCTTCCCCAAACCCCAAAAACTTTAACCTTAGACTGTCTACTATTGACCTCACCCCTTTCCTAAGAGGTCTATAGGGGGCGTGCATTAGTGCACAAATGTGCCTACTGTCCCTGTTCTATTGTTTCTTTTATTTTTCTTATATGTATCCATGTATTCATAACTATGTTTATACTTATACCTATTATCTTGTAAGCAATTGACAAATCAAAATAAATAAATAAATAATTAAATAAATAAAATCTGCCTTTGGATTATGGATTTCCTGTCTGGCCGCTCTCATAGGTCAGATTAGGTCATCATACCTCTTTGATCCTTCTTCTTAACACTGGTACACCACAGGGTTGTGTGTTGAGTCCCTTACTGTATACTCTTTATGTGCATGACTGCATTCCCACTCACACTAGTAATAGTATTGCTAAATATGCAGATGATACAACAGTGGTGGGACTCATCTCTGGAGGAGGATGAGTCTGCCTATCAAGATGAGGTGAACCGGTTGCTTTTGTGGTGTGGAGACAATAACTTGGTCCTCAACACCAATAAGACCAAGGTGCTTATAGTGGACTATAGAAGGAACAGATCAGACATCCAGCCCTTGTTCATCAATGGAGACCAAGTGGAGCAAGTGGTCAGTTTTAAGTTTCTGGGTGTTACCCTAAAAGAGGAACTGATCAAAAGGGCCCAGCAGAGATTATACTACCTGAGACTTCTCAGAAAACAACAACTGAATGAAAAACTGCTAGTGATCTTCTACCACTGCACCATAGAGAGTATCTTAACTTACTGAACCTGTGTATGGTTTGCCAATTGCACAGTGGCAGATAGGAAAGCAATCCAGAGGGTTAACGTCATTGCCCAGAAGATCATTAGTTGCCCTCTCCCCTCTTTTGAAGAGCTTTATAACTCCCGCTACCTTAAAAAAGTTCAAAATATTCTCAAAGATTCATCTCATCCTGTGAACCCTTTTTTTGAACTATTACCATCTGGCAGATGGTAAAAACAGCTTCTATACCAGGGCAGTAGCTCTTTTGAATTCTGCTGTATAGTGCAGTATTGATGTGGTGTCGGGGGTTTTCAGTTCAATGTGTAGAGGGTGAAGGATGTGTGTTTGTGTTTATTTTCATGGTCATGGTCATGACGTGCGCTGAAGATGGTGTTTAATTCCATTGTACAAGGTACAGTGACAATAAAGTTAACCAAACTAAACTAAACTAAAGATAGGTGCTCTCTTCCCATTTTCTTGCTTATTTTAATTTTTATTTCTAGTTTGTCTTTTACAGTAATTTTTTTGGTACGTTGGGCTCTAATTTCTTTTTGCGTGAAGACTGATGCAAAGAACAAGTTAAGGACCATTTCTTTCTCCCGACTGCCTGTTACTTCCTTTCCATCTTCTCTCTTTAGTGGACCATTTCCTTGATTTTTTTCTTATTATCTTTGATTTTTGTTGCAAGTCTTTGTTCAT